GACAGAACATAATCCATGGTGAATCTTGGGATGTTCATATGAGCACACGAAAACGAAAATTTGGCTCCGTAATTTTTTTTCCTTTTCTAATATATCCCGGCAATAATAATACATCGAAGCATTGTCTCAACGGATTAACAACATTCTAGTTAAGGATCCATGGCTGCAGCTTACATGAATAGCGAAGACCTAAATCCTACTTTTTGGCATAGGTAATCAACATCGAACTCTGCGGTGTCAACTTAAAAGCTTGGAGTTCCTGCATTGCTACTGTTGATTGCATCTCATCTCCATACTCCACAAAAGCAATACCAGGCTTCGCTTCGACCATTCTAACCTCCTTAAAACCAGCATACTGGCAGAAGAGCATTTGCAGCATCATGGGAGTTGTCTCCTGCGGAAGATTCTGAACAAATAGTATGTTGTTTGGTGGAGCAGGAGCCTCAGGTAACTTCACACCACCAGGATACGGTATTTGGGAAAGCTGCACAAGTTTGTGAGAGAGAAGAGTGGTCAAGGATTGCACATATAATTGAGGAATAAGTTTCATCATTTTAAAATCAACCAAACGGGCTAAGCCGCAGATTATAAACTTATCCAAAGAGCATGCTTGAGCCTAGACTCCCACTTAAATGCGTAATACAATTTTCAAGCCGGATTTAGATAGCAAAGTGTAACTAGTAACAGTTAACTCCATGATTCGATAACCCAGCACAGTGCTTTCTACTAATTTCATGTCAAATACACCAGTTTCAATGAACCAATACAAACTTGAAATAGATAAACCATGAAGGGCACTACTTGAATGAAATTTTTTTCCAATCACCGAAATAAACCAAAAAATTACTTTATCCGTGTATTTTTCATAACAGTTTCCAGTTGTTATACACCTATCTAATTTGTTTACGTTCCAAGTAACTTGTCAACTTCCCAACTTTTATGAGTCACGTGCAATTTTTCCACCAAATAAACTTCAGAATCAGTTAAGAGTTGTTTCAGTTCAAGCAACACCAATCACGACATGTAATAAATATGATCATAGACATCCAAATCAAAACATAAATAGTGAAGGTATAAACAAAGCTGAAATTGGGAGTAAGTTATCCCTCGATGAAACAGAAAACTTGCTTACCGGAGGTGCTGAACCATAGGGACCAGCATAAGCAGGAACGCCACCCATTCCGGCTTGGCTCGCATCAAGTTGCTCTTTTCGTTTTTTCCCTGCCGCATAAGGAACAGAAAAACAAATTTTAAGATCATAAAAAACAAATGCATCAATCATACATCAAAACCGCAATTTTTTTTTCAAAAGATATATCTTATTGTCACATCGCTTATAAACGAGAGATCGTGTTTTACCCTTTTCCTCATGCCTCTTTCGTCTTTCGCGTGGAACAAAAGTACCATCAGCTTTTGCTATCACATCTGATTTCGTCTTGGCATATTGTATTCTCTGTATTAATCACATATCAGTAAAATGATTCCAAAAAACAAAACAAATTAAACAACGGGAAAATCTTACGGTAATCACAATTCATTATATCCATCTAACTAGGATAAAGAATGGTTGTGTGAAACATAATCCATCCATCACTTGACATGCCAATGTGCTTATTCACCGATCAAAAGGCCAAATTCTAGACAATGCAGAAGAACAATCATATGAATGGCAGCGAAAACCTGCCCTAACCTAAACCCTCCCAATCTCCCCTCCCCACTCGCAGTCCCTATGACATTGACAGCATGTAGCCAGTAGAGTTTACGCGTTCGGGCATCATCGAGACTGACTAATAACAAGAGCTGGATCATGCCTAAATATTCCCAAATTTGATTTTACAACAAGTAAATTCCTTTTTTCTACCATTTCTATTCAACTAATTACATACTCTTTTTTCTGCACTATGCTAACAAAATAAATGGAATTTGAGGAACAAAATAAAATCAAACTAATATTAAATTTCTAAATTAAACAATTAGATAAAATTAGGTTAGAATTGCATACCATGGGCTTGTCGTAAAAGGGGAAGCCCTGCATTTGGTGAAGGGCTTTGGTGGCGGAGGAGACGTCCTCGAAGACGAGCCAGGCTTGGCCTTTGTGCTTGAGCGTCTTGAAAGCCAAGACCTCCACAATCTTCCCGAACTGAGAGAACACCGCCAGAAGCGACTTTTTCAGTTCGTCCAGCTTTATTTTCTCGCTCAGGTTGTTGATGTAGATCGTCTGGTTCGCCGAGACTTCTCCACCACCACCAACGCCACCGTCGCCGCCGCCGCTGTTGTTCTCGGCCATGTCTTCTTTCTCAGTTCCCAATTTCGGATTTTGTTTTGAAGCTGTGGTGGAGATGGAAGGGGTTTAAGCTGACTGACGAGCTCGACGGCTACGCGGGCACCCACTGCACCAAGCTAGGGGGTAGGCAAACGGGCCCTGGGCCCACGGGTAGGGGCGGGTATTAGTGGTTTGGGGCGGGTTCTAATTTTAAAAATGATGTGCTATCCACATACCCCTTTTTACTTATTCCACACCCCTTGTTAATTTCTGTCATTTGATCTTCTTTAATTCATCCAATCCGACGGTCGAAAATTAAAAAAAGTGTGAGAGAAGTAAAAATGGATGTATGGATATCACACCCCTTTTAAAAAAGAGAAACGGGGTGGGCCTTTGAAATTTTAGGTTCGGAAATGTTCCAAAAGTATAGAAAAAGGGGTACCCGGACCGGCCCGTTTGCAAGAATACCCCAGTGTTGGGTACTATTAATTTCTGTCATTTGATCTTCTTTAATTCATCCGATCCGACGCCCGAAAATTAAAAAATGTGTGAGAGAAGTAAAAATGGATGTATGGATATCACACCCCTTTTAAAAAAGAGAAACGGGGCAGGGCGGGGTGGGCCTTTGAAATTTTAGGTTCGGAAATGTTCCAAAAGTATAGAAAAATGGGTACCCGGACCGGCCCGTTTGCAATAATACCCCAGTGTTGGGTACTGTCTCCCAAGCCCACTTCCTATTGTTCTCTCCACACACACACCCCACTTCCCCGTGTTTCCCCCTCATCCAATCTCTCGAACCTTCTCCCCCATCTCTGCAACTCTCCTCCCGGAGCACAGACACACCCCACCCACACCCACATTCCACCGAGAAATGATATGTTGCCGCCACCCTCTTCGCCCACCAACTCCTCCGTCTCCTCCTCCGATCTCGATACCAAGGTAACTCATTTCCATCATTTCTTCCAATTTCGTCAATTTCTTAATTTTGATTTACAAAATTTGTGAAATTTTACATCGCAGGTTTGGCTTCTGGCACTCCTTGTCTGGGATGAAGATGGTCTTGGTTGGCGGGTACAGGTGCTCGAAGGACAGGTTGGGATATCTGCGTTTGAGTCGTCCAGCTGCAGGATCTCCACTCGGTTTGGGTACTGCTCGAGGACACTCCAGTTCATGGCGTAGATGTGCCCCGCCAGCCTCGTGGCCCAGTCGCCGAAGCCTTTGTACTCCGTCCACTCTCATATTTGTTTCTGGGTTTTGCGTTTTAAGTTGAATCTAGCTCTGTTTGATCTTTAATTACAATCACATTTATACAGATATAGATATTAGATATATAGATATATATAATGTAATTTTTTTTGTTGAATTGGTGTTGTGAGTGATTGATTTGAAGAAAAAAAAGATGGAAATTGAAAGTTCACCATACTTCTGTCGAACTTGGTAGTTGATGGACTCGGCGAGCTCGTCTTTTTGCTCTTCCTTCGCAGCAGCAGCCATTGGAAGAGAACTCCGAGGAGTATGACCCCCGCGCCATCCTAATGAGCTCGTCGGGAGAGCTAAAGAAGAAGAGAACAAAACCGATGAGGGTCTTGATGTCAGAGAAGATCTGGAGGATCAGCGGAGGCGATCAAAACCAAGGAAAAAAAAGTAAGAGGACTCGTGGGCCCGTCCCGAACCAGCCCGTTTGAAACAGGCCGAGTTAGGTCCGGTTCCAGTGATTAGATTTGCAATACCCCGCCCGACCCGTCCCGTTTCCTTTTTAAGCAGGTCCGGTCCGGTCCCTTAAAATTTAGGCCCGGCCCGGCCCGGCCCGTGCCCACCCCTACAACAAGCCCTTAGCAAAGATTTAGCTCGATTAATGGGCCCGAATTTAACTTTGGGTATATTAATGGGCCTTCACCTTTGCTACTAGATATTTAAGGCCCAATGATTGAGATGCTTTTGGCTCAATAACTATAGCCTCATTTGGTATAAAGATAAAAGAGAAATTTTATTTGAACCCGTATAACATATTTCTACACCCAACTTAAACTTTAATTTTAATTAACAATAAAGCTAAAACTTATCAATGAACCCACTCTATAATTAAACTCAACCATCACGTCTTATTTCATCCAAATAATCCATGTAATGGTTTCATCCGGCCTTCTAGTGCATGCATGGTTCTTTCATTTGATTATATCACTACAGATACAGTACCACAGGTGAGACAGGATTCATTCAAGCCATGAAATTGGCTACCATTGAAACTTCATCTACTTCTGGTATGGATAGATTATGTGAAACTTCGCCTGAGAATCCCTTTAAGAATTTATAAAGCCATTTCAGATGTGAAAGAGTAACAATATACCTTATTGACTGAACTAATGTTAATAAACGAATGGGAGAGAGAAAGAGCTAGAGAATGAGAGAGATTTTAAACCATGGAGAAAAGGGCCATGCTTCAGTAGGTGGTTTGATTTCAACTTTGATGAGCTCTCTCAAAAAAAACCCAGTGCATGGTTTTTATAGTTTCACAATTTAGTTTAGTGAGACAAAAAAATAAATATTATTGATTGGTAACCCTATTATAATATAATTGCAAGGACGATCATATTGCGTAGATTATGAATTTCTGTCATTTGATCTTCTTTAATTCATCCGATCCGACGCCCGAAAATTAAAAAATGTGTGAGAGAAGTAAAAAGGGATGTATGGATATCACACCCCTTTTAAAAAAGAGAAACGGGGCAGGGCGGGGTGGGCTTTTGAAATTTTAGGTTCGGGAATGTTCCAAAAGTATAGAGAAAGGGGTACCCGGACCGGCCCGTTTGCAAGAATACCCCAGTGTTGGGTACTGTCTCCCAAGCCCACTTCCTATTGTTCCTCCTTGCGACAGTTCTCACTCTCGAGAACTCTCTCCACACACACACCCCACTTCTCCGTGTTTCCCCCTCATCCAATCTCTCGAACCTTCTCCCCCCATCTCTGCAACTCTCCTCCCGGAGCACAGACACACCCCACCCACACCCACACTCCACTGAGAAATGATATGTTGCCGCCGCCCTCCTCCCCCACCAACTCCTCCGTCTCCTCCTCCGATCTCGATACCGAGGTAACTCATTTCCATCATTTCTTCCAATTTCATCAATTTCTTAATTTTGATTTACAAAATTTGTGAAATTTTACATCGCAGGTTTGGCTTCTGGCACTCCTTGTCTGGGATGAAGATGGTCTTGGTTGGCGGGTACAGGTGCTCAAAGGACAGGTTGGGATATCTGCGTTTGAGTCGTCCAGCTGCAGGATCTCTACTCGGTTTGGGTACTGCTCCAGGACACTCCAGTTCATGGCGTAGATGTGCCCCGCCAGCCCCGTGGCCACGTCGCCGAAGCCTTTGTACTCCATCCACTCTCATATTTGTTTCTGGGTTTTGTGTTTTGAGTTGAATCTAGCTCTGTTTGATCTTTAATTACAATCACATTTATACATATATAGATATTAGATATATAGATATAGATAATGTAATTTTTTTTGTTGAATTGGTGTTGTGAGTGATTGATTTAAAGAAAAAAAAGATGGAAATTGAAAGTTCACCATACTTCTGTCGAACTTGGTAGTTGATGGACTCGGCGAGCTCGTCTTTTTGCTCTTCCTTCGCAGCAACAGCCATTGGAAGAGAACTCCGAGGAGTATGACCCCCGCGCCATCCCAATGAGCTCGTCGGGAGAGCTAAAGAAGAAGAGAACAAAACCGATGAGGGTCTTGATATCAGAGAAGATCTGGAGGATCAGCGGAGGCGATCAAAACCAAGGAAAAAAAAAGTTAGAGGACCCGTGGACCCGTCCCGAACCAGCCCGTTTGAAACAGGCCGAGTTAGGTCTGGTTCCAGTGATTAGATTTGCAATACCCGGCCCGACCCGTCCCGTTTCCTTTTTAAGCAAGTCTGGTCCGGTCCCTTCAAATTTAGGCCCGGCCCGGCCCGTGCCCACCCCTACAACAAGCCCTTAGCAAAGATTTAGCTCGATTAATGGGCCCGAATTTAACTTTGGGTATATTAATGGGCCTTCACCTTTGCTACTAGATATTTAAGGCCCAATGATTGAGATGCTTTCGGCTCAATAACTATAGCCTCATTTGGTATAAAGATAAAAGAGAAATTTTATTTGAACCCGTATAACATCTTTCTACACCCAACTTAAACTTTAATTTTAATTAACAATAAAGCTAAAACTTATCAATAAACCCACTCTATAATTAAACTCAACCATCACGTCTTATTTCATCCAAATAATCCATGTAATGGTTTCATCCGGCCTTCTAGTGCATACATGGTTCTTTCATTTGATTATATCACTACAGATACAGTACCACAGGTGAGACATGATTCATTCAAGCCATGAAATTGGCTACCATTGAAACTTCATCTACTTCTGGTATGGATAGATTATGTGAAACTTCGCCTGAGAAGCCCTTTAAGAATTTATAAAGCCATTTCAGATGTGAAAGAGTAACAATATACCTTATTGACTGAACTAATGTTAATAAACGAATGGGAGAGAGAAAGAGCTAGAGAATGAGAGAGATTTTAAACCATGGAGAAAAGGGCCATGCTTCAGTAGGTGGTTTGATTTCAACTTTGATGAGCTCTCTCAAAAAAAACCCAGTGCATGGTTTTTATAGTTTCACAATTTAGTTTAGTGAAACAGAAAAAGAAATATTATTGATTGGTAACCCTATTATAATATAATTGCAAGGACGATCATATTGCGTAGATTATGAATTTGTCCATTTTTTTCGTAGTCCTAACTTGAAATGGACTTATGTTTGCAAATTTAGGATTTGTATTTTCTAAATGGATGTAGAGAAAAATTTATAAATTGAATTAAGTTTGTGAGGATAGTTTATGTAGTATATTTGGGTTCAAAGAGATATTGATAGTTTAATTAAAAGTAACATGGTAGAAAAGAGTAAGTTAGGTGTAGAAAGATGTTACATAAAATTTCCCAAGATAAAATCGAATCAGATGCTTCGCTAGATTCAATATATATTTAACGAGAAATATGTGTTTGAAAAAGAAAACGAGAAATATGTGTTAATTTGCAATTTGAAGATAAAAGACAAATTAGTTGTGAATAAGACGTATCCCTATTATAACATGTTTACTTACTTGAAAAGAATGTTCATGAACTAAGAAAAGGAAAAAGAAATGAGAACAGATCAACTAGTCCCTCAAATTAATCATTGGGTTTCAAGTATTTGATTAAGGATTTTAAGGTGTGACCCACAATTCTTTTCAATTTAATATGTGCTAGTAAACACAGGGGAAGTTAGTAATTAGAATGATTTATAATACCATGTTTTAGTAAAGACGTGGAAGTAAAAAACTGAAATGATTCCCTATCTCATTCCCTGTAAGTAAATTTTCCATCAATTTCCACCCAAATGAAAGGATTGAGATGGATAAGTTTTTGTAATTAGTAGTCCATCTTCTTCCTTCATTTTGGACAAAATAAAGAATTTGACATTAATTCTTACTTCAACATGTTTAGTGAAATTTTCAACCAAAAGAGGCATAAGAAACACAAAAATTTAGAGTCAGTTTGGTGACTAGCTAGGGCTAGATAAATTTGGAATTGAGTATGAGCCAGTATTACATAGTTCCATCCATCTAGACGAGATTTGTAAGGTACAATATGTTAAACCACTCATTAATTAATTTTGAACTCTTCGTACATCAGTTCAATTTATTTAAAATAGCTCAAAGCCATAAAAAAGAACATGAGTATGCATGTATGTAGATATGTTTGTATGTGGTTAAGGTTGATTGTTATATGCGATCGACGGCATCAGTGCTCTTTTGTGATGAACGGTCCCGTATCTCTGATCATATGCATACAACTCCAACCAATAAAACCCTGAAAATGGCACAACACAGAATGCATGTCAATGACAGATGCTATAACGAAAGTAACCACTTTCCTTGTCCTTCGCATACAGAAGGGTACATGATTCGAATACACCGTCGACGTAGCTTTTTGTGGCAATAAAACTACACCATGTTGATGAAACTTAAATATACTTTTGTATTGATTACTAGCACGAGACATCACGATATCAGTACACCTGATCTATGAAAAGACGGGCCAAAGAAGTGATTGTTGTGGAGGGAGGGTCCTTGACCTCTCCCACTAGGGGCACTTGCCTGCTCTCATAATTTAACCCCAACCCTTGTGTTCGTTGTAGAGACACATTTCATCCACTTGGCTGGAAATGGCTGTATTAAAATAATAGAAAAAGAGAGGATATACAAGTGAAAATTGTTGTTTATCCAGATTCTAATAACTTATTAAAAAACATATTAAATCGCGTGCCACACCATGTTAAATTGATGGACATGGTCCGTAGCTTTATGAAATGTTCTTGAAGTATCTAGAAAAAATAAGTGGTCAAATAATCCCACCAACTAAATGGTACCTTCTTTTGTCTTTTGACCAATGCATATATATTTCCTAGGGTTTTCTAGAAGCACAGACTGCACGCACACGAGTGACTTGACACAACACACAATAACAAGAAAATATGTAAAAGAGATGCATGGCACGGCGGCTGGTGACGCTTTTGCTGCTCTTGCTGGTGGCAGCTGCATTGATCTAATTCCTCAGCAGAGCAAGTTGTAACAAAACTGCTCATCAGAAAACCGACTAAATTGATCTGCTATTTGGGGAGGTTATGTGATTTGATTTCCTTTTAGTTTGCACAGCTGTTTAAAGGAAAGAAAAAAAATGAAAACGATAGATAACCACGAAGACCAACTTGATAAAAGTTGGAACTTTGTTCATGATCACATCACGAGAGTCATGACTCCTAACCCTAACAAGTAAGACCCTTGACTTGGACCCTTCCATAAATCACGAGGCCAAATTGCCTAAAACCTTCCAGAACATAGCAAGGAAACTCCGCCACCACTTCCCCTTTCTTTCTCCTGCTTACGACTCTCATTTCATACTTATCCATCTATTTAATATGGATCAACGACATGGTTTACTATATGTTCACTGTTTTAGTTTAAAAATAATAGTAATAAAATATGATGTGACGTGTTCCGAATAAAATTTTAATCAGCAATACAATGTTATATGGATAAAAGTGTCATACATGCATTTTTATTTTCACGCATTATTATTAATTTTTTGTCATTAATCTTCTTCAACTTAATTGATTCGATGGTCGAAAAAAGAGGGGTGCGTCATATGTAAAAATAGATGTATGGACAATCTACAATTTTTGTATTATTTCCACAAATTATTTTTTTGAACCAATGATATTAACTACACTATGAGAGTGAATGAGTGGGCTAAATTAGGGACAATCATAATAATATTGTTTAAATTTACATTTGACGATAATTGAACATACTTATTTACAAGTAAAGAAGAATACATGTAGCCACTCGGTACTATGATCTGATGATTTTCTTCTTTACTTAAAAATGAAAGATCTTATATTCGAATATCATAGATGACGAATTTGATACCAAATTACTCTTCCAATATTTTCTGTCATCGACGGCCAATATCCCTCACATTCTAGACTCCGCATTCACGCCGACATTTCCTCACCTTTTGACGTTGATTGAGGTGAAAGAAAAATGTCCTCCACTCAAATCCCCACTCCCTCTCAACCGTCCGATCTCAGTTCTAAAATCCAAAATGGATTTGGATCCATTCGAATCCAAATTATAAGAATCCTAAGAATCCTCATATTTTAATTATTAATTATATATATAATACAGTTAAAAATTATTTGATATTTTTTAAATTAAAATTAAATATAAATAATATTTGACGAAAACTCCCCACAAAATGAGTCGGGGAAGATCCTCTTCCTTTCGAAAGAGCAACGGCACTTCGCATTAATCCCACGTGGCAACAAACTACGGGTTAGTCAACTGGCCGCTCCATTTTAACAGCGTTTTCTTTTGTTTGGATTCCACGCGTCTCTTGTTTTCCTCCCCTATATAAACACCTTCCCCCCTCTCTCTAAGCCCATCTTCGCAATTCCAGAGAGTTTTTAGAGAGAGAAAGAAAGAGCCGTAGCAAAAGAGCTTCTTGTTTCTTCTCGCTGCTGTAGAAGGCGAAGGTTTTCTCTGCTACTAAGCTTTCTGCAGCGGTGTTTAGATTCCGATCTCTTTCAATTACCAAAGAAAAACAATGGCTCGTTCTTTCTCCAACGCAAAGTTTCTCTCTGCTCTCGTCGTCGACGGTTTCTCTAGCTCCATCTCCAGGTACTAACCATTTCTAACAATCGAATCCAAGTTTTGTTGTTTTCGATCTCGGTTCATCTCTCGTAAGAGAGAAAAATAACCATATCTTTGTGACAGTATCTTAAGTTAATCATGCACGTCTAAGTTTTGTTGTTTTTCATTTCTCCCCGTGAGAGAAATCCCTTGTTTATAATATGGTATCCTGTATTATTCATGCACAACCATTCTCCGGCGACGAATTAGTAATTAATCGGCTGTTAATTTCGGTTTTCTTCTTAAAGCGGAACACTTTCGGCGCACGTTAGTCCACGTGACGTGAACCGGAAGCGATTAGTTGATAAACGTGATTAATGCTTTGAAATTTATATCAATTAAATGTTAATGATGTTTTTTTTCATGGAAATGCAGACGTGGATATGCGGCGGGTTCGCAAGGAGTTGCGTCGAGCGTGGTGAGAGGAGGAGGTGCTACGAATCCCAGAAGCGTGAACATGTCGAAGAAGAATTCCGGGGAAGAAAAGGTGGGCTCCACCTTCAAGGTCTCGTGGGTCCCCGACCCCAAAACCGGGGTTTATGGACCCGAGAACGGCACCGCGAAGATCGACGCCGCCGAGCTGCGCGCGGCGCTCTTGAAGAAGCACTAATAAGATTAAAGATCAAAACAAAAATTCTTGTAATTTTTCTGGTGGAAACATACGAGGAGATTTGTACGAGGAATGGGCTGTCGGCGTGTTTGTGTTTGAATTCTTCGGAGTTTAGACGTCGCCGGAAAATATGTATGATTTGTGGTAATAGCTGGTTCCTCCATCCTCTGATCCGATTAGGGACTTAAGCGTGTATTAATTTATATTTGCAATGAAAGGTTTATTCAATTCTCTAATCAATCGTTTTAATTTAATTAATATTTTAAGTCACTGCACATCCTTTTGTGTGGTTGTGATTTGTACTAGTTTTGGTTAAATAAAATGGTATATTATATTCTTAGTGGGGAATGTCTTAGAATTGCGGAGGATTTTGAGAGTGCTCGGAAAATATTCATTTTTATTCAATTTTTTTAAAATTATGATGTACCGATTTGCGTTCTAGACTGAAAAAAAACGTTAAATTTTAGGAAAACCCACAAGGATGAAGGATGGATGGGTGCACACATATTTTCCTTATTGATGTTCATCCAAAAAGCTCCATGATTTAGTTGGTTATTTAAGTTTGTGGACTTTTATATTTAATTAGGTATTTGATTAAGATGTATCATCCTGTAGAGTACTGGGACATGAGGGTACTAATTCAACGAAACAGCTATATTTAGTAAAAATTTATAATACGTGTAGAGAGGGTGTAATATCTTGGGACGGATGTAAAGCTAAGCAAATTGCCTCCCAAGAATATAGGGCTATGTCAGTTGCAAGAGATGTGAATTTGCCTGTCCTGCAAATTTGCTAAGAGAAATCAAAATTAGTTTTGAGTTGGAATTAGCAGACCAAGTAATCCTATAATGAATTTAATCTCTAATTTTTCAAGCATTTGATATCGATGTAAAACTCATATATTTTCGGTCTTATAGACGCATTAAAAATTAATAACCAAAATTTCAATGCTAATACTTTTAACAAGTCATGAATTAGAGTCAAGTGCATGTCAATAAGCATATGCAAGTTGGGTTGATGCGTACACGTAATATAAATTTGAAGGTATCTCGCACCACATAATTAAGGAGTTGATTACGTTGCACACTAAATGCTCTTAGTTAATTCTATATATATTTTTCTATATAAAGCAATGATTGTGGTGGGAAATGATTGTTCGGGAGTGTCGGTCCATTAGCTACGCAACCACCGGCCAAACATCGGGCGGCACCGTCTACGGCAGCCATGTGTGTCATCGTGTGCCGGCAGCCGGTCCAACCAATTAAAAAAAAATTAATGAAAATTAACTGAAAACTTTGAATTTAAAAGGTAAAATGAATAATACCAAAATTAAATTTTTAGTATAAAAATATAATTTTTTATTAATATAAATTGTACCGAAAAATTTTCGTTCAAATTTCCTTAAAAAAATTTCAATGGCGCTGAAAAGTTGGCTAACTATCCAAAAGCAAGATCCACTAATAAAATTCTTAAAAATGGTTGGTAAGTGCGTAAAGAATAATGGAATGGATTGCTGCTGTTAAATTACGGCCGACAATTAGTGGCTTTTGCTTGTAGGGAGATTTTTAGTTCACATTATCTTTTTAATACAAGGTCTAAACGATCTTAGTTTTAATTTATTTTGTGTAAAGATGATCTTTATATTTAATTGATAATATGAACGGTTTTGATTATATGCACAAAGCTTAGTGATTCAAACACTAAAAAATTTTAGTAGGAGTTCATACTCATTTTTGAGTAGCCAAGTAATGTTCTTACTTAAATTATATTTACATTTTTTATATATCCGTAAGTATGAAATATTAAAATTTTCGTCTACTTTTATTTTAACACGTGAAGTGAAGTAATACATCACAAACGCTTTTGATACACATGAAAATAGTCCCATGAGCAGTGGTAGAGCCAATATAGAATCATTAAATGCTCATAACCCAAATAACTTTATAATCGCAATGTATATAATATATTACTCACTACAAGCTGAAAGAATGAGTCAAAAACACGAACTTACAACATGTTACTTCTTTGTCTTTTTTTTTTAATCTTATTTCTTGTATAACCTATGGTCTATAACAAGTATTTGATAAAATGCGTCACTGAATAGATATCTACAGAATTCAAAAGAACAGATAACTCGATAGCTACCCACTAAGGACTCCCACGAAATTATGACCACATTGTTATAAATACTGGCTCCGCCACCCTAAAGAATCTGATGATGACAATGGAGAATTATTAGGTTAGGTCCAAAACTATTATAGGCGCAGATAGAATGGGGAATCAATATCAAACTGTGTCACCTTGTTTGGCAATGCCAAAGATATTATAAACTTTAGGGTGGGGCCAAATTTGAAGCCTCGTATATACACACACACACACAATCTATATGTTGGCCAAAGCCAGCTACTGGTTCAGCTAGATGTGGTGAATTGTCGAGTCTCTGCTTTGTTTGAGTTAGTCAAAGGGAGATGACGACGGAAAAGAGATAAATACATGAATGTATACTCGGTTCATTCAAGTTTAAAAGCAATACGACGCATGTAAGTTGTCCACTTGTTTGCTACGAAGAAGAGCCAAGCCAAGCAATATGCTTCGATATCGACGTTGACGTGACAGATTCATTTACTGCCACGTGCTGTTTCGGTTCAAAAGTTAATGCATTGTGAAGAAAAACTTACACATATAAGATATTATTGGACCGAAAGAACTAGACCACGTCTTCCATCAGAAAGCTTCCGCAACACTGTACCCTGCATAATAAAACTCGACACTATGCTTGTCCCACCTGTGTGAGAGTTGTTCTAGCTAGGCAAATTTTTCTCCCTTGCAGAATGTAGATAATCCTGCATTCGGGTGGGAGGAGTTTTCTTACAGAGTAGTGGGTGTGCTTACCACACGACTAACAAACTAGAAAGACACCATCTAAATTACAATTTTTTGCTCCTTGTTCATATGACTTGCAATCCTTGCCCAAATTTACAAGCATCCGTAGTGTGGAAAGAAAAAGAAACCAGGCACGTAGATATAATTGTTCAATGACAGCAACCATAGCCAGAAATGATCACCGAAACCTACTAACAGACACCGAAAGAACGGTTTCAGGCAGCACGGCCACGCCGCTTATTATCTCTCGAGGATGTACCTATTTCACGCAAAAAAAACAGGCAAATGCCCTAGACCGAGGGACACTGTACGGAAAACTTTGTCAGGCAAACCATAATCCCAATTGACAAGGCTCCAACACAGCTTGCAAACCGCTAGGGAAAACAAATGCTAAGCTAACAGTGGTAAGAGAGGAGGGATAAGGGTTAGCTCGGTATAGGAGGCAACTAAATACAAAGAAACTAAAGTCGGAACGAAAGACTTTTACTTAATGTATCGAACCTGAATTCCATGTTCTCCGAAACCAAACTACGAACTTCCTTAACCAAAATAACAATCTCCAAGGTATATCAACAGCCCTGAAGGTCCAGTGTCTACCTGCGCAGTTAACACCTAAACTCCAAAGAAGGCCATTTTCACTGATACATTAAAAAAAAGCATGAAACACAGAACAGACTGTAATCTGCTCACTACATCCCACGGACTCTTAAGTCCGTAATGCAAACCCAAACCTAATATGAAACTCTCAAGCAGAGTACTATTCAACACGCCCTTCTCCATCACCACTGAACCCACATTTGCAAACTAGCCACAGAGTATACGACAATAAAGAAACATGAATTAAAATTCCCTACTAACATAAAACCTATGAACACGCATGCAAATCGGGTTACTAGACAACTTCCCTCCTGAACCAGAATAATAATAAAGTATAAGACTTACAAGCGGAAAGAACAACACAAGCAATGTATCGCTTGTTTTGGCCTAAACCATATTGCATAAAGCTCTAACAATCAAGATACAAGCTTTTAACACTCTAAAAGCCACCATAACCAGCATATGTGCAACCGATACAACAGAATTACGCCCTAAATTAATCAAACATAAGATCTAACAATCAAAATACAAGCTTTTAACTCTCTAAAATCCACCATAACCGCCATATGCACACTCTATACAACGCTGTTACGCCGTAAATTAATCAAACATAAGCTCTAACAATCACGATACAGCTTTTAACTCTCTAAAATCCACCATAACCGCCATATGCGCAATCAATACAACGCTGTTATGCCCTAAATTAATCAAACATAAACACTAACAATCAAGATACAAGCTTTTAACTCTCTAAAATCCACCATAACGGCCACATGAGCAATTGATACAACACTGTTACACCGTTAACTAATCAAACATAAGATCTAACAATCAAGATACAAGCTTTTAACTCTCTAAAATCCACCATAACCCCCATATGCGCAATCGATACAACGCTGTTACGCCCTAAATTAATCAAACATAACTGCATTTTTTCCTTCACTTGAGCCGATTGAACATACATTATCATTAAATCATTAATTGTCCACAACAAAACATGTCACAAACGCATAAACGAAAATTATTGAAAAGCATAAAATTCATAATCTTCAAGAAATCAAGGTGTGAACCAACACTGAACACTACCCGTAATTCCAAATCCCTAAAATCCTCCCTCCTCTACAGCCCCAATTCCCATTTCAAACCGAAGAAACAAGAGGCATTTTAATCTTCCTTACTTGTCCGCCATTGAAGCAATCCAACCCGCACCCGCACTGCGGGCACTCGTAAAAATTGTCGATTGGAAACGCCGCCGACGCTATCCCCACCGAGAACTCGAGGTTGTCACCTCTCCGGGTGACCTCGACGATGTCGAGCCACAGGAACAGGACCTTGACGCTGACCCCGGTCAGCGAGGAGAGCTTGTTCGGGGAGATTGTGCCGGTAATGGTGGACTTGTACTTGAGCTGGTACGAGCCTTCCAGCGAGAAGCTGCAGGAGCCGTTCAAATACGCGAGGAATCGGCCGTTGCCATTGTCGAGCTCGTATCCGGTGACGCCCTTCGGGAGCAGACCCATCGGAAAGTTGAATTCTTGGATTGCATCGTACACAGACAGCGAGCCGTCGCCATCGCCGTTGGCGGAGGCGGTTGATGACGTGGACAACGGTGATAGGAGGACGAGGACGGCGAGAGTTGTTGCGAGAGACATGATTTTTTTTTCTCTCTCTCCGAAATTTTGTTTTGTTGTTTTGTTGTTCTGTTTTTCCGGGAAAGTAGTTTTGTTTGGCACAGAAAGTCGGCTAGGTGTGAGTTGACTGACAGCGGTGGACAAGATCAATTTGGTTGGTAGAAACGACGACGTAGAAAGGAATATGAAATTTGTTAGTGGGCACGTGGTGCTGCCTTGGCCAAGCACGTGGTGACCATTGCGGTGATAAGAAAGACGCGCTAAGGAACGATGATACTGTCCAAATTCTCTTTATCTATTTATAGTATATCGTTCAGTTAATTTTAGTTAAATACTGTTTATATTTAATTTTAAATAAAAATATTTAAAATAACTTTTAACACACGATATACAATAAATAGACATGATTTAAAAATCACTAGAACCCTCATAAAGAAATTCATTCTCTAACCTCGTTTTTTACCTCCCCACATTTAATAATCAAGGAAAATAAACCGTGGACCAACCATCTGATTTTCAATTTTGGACACAAGATTTATAGATTCAAGAGAGAATTTTATGTTTTTTCGGATTTCATATGCGTGGTAAAAAATATTTTAAGTGAAATATAGTAATACTGGTATTTTAATAAACACATGAAACTTAAAAATCAAAATTATTTTCGATAGGTAATCTATTTTTCTTTCAAATATTACATAGTTCTTAATTTTTCTCTTCTTGATTATGTATGTTCTAAAAAACACGTAGGAATTAGGAATCCAAATAATTCAACATGAAGAATAATAAATACACATTCTTTTGTGCATCACGTACTTTCATGTCTAATTATCGTTATTTTCAATTGATTCAGAATGGTACTATTTACAGACTCTCATTTTTACTTTTCACAACTTATTAATTTTGGTTCTTTGATATTTTATTCTTCAATTAATTTGACCAGACGGTTGTAAATTAAAACGTATGTAACAAGTAATAAAGAAAATGTAAATACCATTATTCTTGATTATTCAATACAACGACCATAAATAAAATAGTGGAAGAAGCTAACATCCACTTTTTATGCATGTTGATAATTACCCTTTTTCTTCCTTTCTTTTTTTTCTTTTTCGTTCTTTCCCCACATTTTGGCCTCAATTGCTCAACCTATAGTCTGCAAGCCAAAAATGTTTTGCAACAACCATTCAAACTGGTATACTCAAGTTCATAACCTTGGCGGCCTCCAGATCGGAGTTTCATAAATCATACAGAGAAGCAAGTAAACATTCGCTAACGAGTGACATAGTCGTACATTTATTTAATCACAAATCGTATTTAATCTTAATTTTGATCCAACATCATTGCCCAAACCCACATTTTGGCACTAAAAAGCTAAAGACTGACCTAAAAGAGCAGACACCAGATTCTTAATCATTCTTTTACCATTCACACAGTCGAAACCACAACCACAGGTCGGACTCTCATCGAAATTACTCACCGGAAAGTTTGCGGAGGCGATGCCGACCGAGAGTTCTAGCTCATCGTCGTCACGAGTCACTGAGACAAGGCTCAGCCACAGAAAGAGCACCCTAACTTCGATGCCACTCAAGCTAGAGATCTTGTCAGTGGTTACAACACCGGTTATGGTGGACTTGTACTTCAGCTTATACGAGTCGATGGTAAATCTACAAGTGCTGTTCAAGTAGACTGAGAGCTCACTACGTCTTTGGGGAGTACGCCCTAAATTAATAAAAAATAACTGCATTTTCTCCCTCACTTGAGCCAATTGAACATACATTATCATTAAATCATTAATTTTCCACAACAAAACATGTCACAGACGCATGAACGAAAATTATTGAAAAGCATAAAATTCATAATCTTTAAGAAATCAAGGTGTGAAGTTGTGAACAGACACTACCCGTAATTCCAAACCCCTAAAACCCTCCCTCCTCTACGGCCCCAATTCCCAATTCAAATCGAAGAAACAAGAGGCATTTTAATCTTCCTTACTTGTCCGCCATTGACGCAATCCAACCCGCACCCGCACTGCGGGCACTCGTAAAAATTGTCGATCGGAAACGCCGCCGACGCGATCCCCACCGAGAACTCGAGGTTGTCGCCGCTCCGGGTCACCTCGACGATGTCGAGCCACAGGAACAGGACCTTGACGCTGACCCCGGTCAGCGAGGAGAGCTTGTTCGGGGAGATTGTGCCGGTAATGGTGGACTTGTACTTGAGCTGGTACGAGCCTTCCAGCGAGAAGCTGCAGGAGCCGTTCAAATACGCGCGGAATCGGCCGTTGCCATTGTCGAGCTCGTATCCGGTGACGCCCTTCGGGAGCAGACCCATCGGAAAGTTGAATTCTTCGATTGCATCGTACACAGACCGCGAGCCGTCGCCGTTGGCGGAGGCGGTTGATGACGTGTAGAACGGTGATAGGAGGACGAAGACGGCGAGAATTGTTGCGAGAGACATGATTTTTTCTCTCTCTCTCTCTCCGAAATTTTGTTTTGTTGTTTTGTTTTTCCGGGAAAGTAGCTTTGTTTGGCACAGAAAGTCGGTTGGTTGTGAGTTGACTGATAGCGGTGGACAAGATAAATTTGGTTGGTAGAAACGACGACGTAGAAAGGAATTTGAAATTTGTTAGTGGGCACGTGGTGTGGTGACCATTGCGGTTATAAGAAAGACGCGCTAAGAGCAAGTCCATCCCTAAGGACTTTGTGCCAGCACATAGCGCATTTATCTACTCAATTGAACAGTAATAGACTCCAGTGAACAATAATAGACCAAAGCATCTCCGCCCCTAAAAATACGCTGGCACCCAGTCTATCTAATATTATATTATTTTATTCATATCAATTAATATTTTATCATTTATTTTATTTTTTATTTTTTATTTTTTCTTCCTTTCCCTCTCCGATCCTTTCTTTCTCTCTCTCTCTCCCTCTCTCTCTTTTCCAACTCACTCTCATGAGCTCTCCTTCTCCTTCCTCTTCAAAACCTTCCATTTCTGCACGCCATCCACCCCTGCATCTCCGACGCCATCCACCCCTGCATCTCCGACGTCGTCGACGCCATCCTCCTGCATCTCCACACCTCCGATGCCGTCGTTTCGTCCTCCCGTCGTTCTCCCTCCGTGGTTCCTTCCCTCTCGACATCTTCTCCCGCCTCGACCAGCTCCGCTCCTCAGCCTCCACAACAACTCCCTCTCTGACGTCATATGCCCTCCGACGCCACACTGACGTCAGATAGGCCGGTCCCAAGGTCTGTCGATTTTAGGTCGGCCTGTGGACTGGCTTGGGCTGGGTGCAAGTCGATTTCACAGGCTGGAGTGAATTGACAGGGTGCTAGCCTGGTTTTTTGACTGGGTGTTGGGCTCTCTTCTTCCTGGTGGACTTGCTCTAAGGAACGAGCATCCTCACCGGATTCTCTTTATGATTATCTTGAAAGTCTTGAATTTGAATCTGTTTATCATACATTGTGAGGTTAATTTAGTCAAATACTATTTATATTTAATTTTAAATAAAAATATTTAAAATAATATCTGACACACGATATACAATAAATAAACATGATTTAAAAATCTCTAGAACCTTCGTAATGAAATTTATTCTCTGACCTTGTTTTTTCCCTCCCCCCCCTGTTTTATAATCAAGGAAAGTAAACCGTGGACCAACCATCCGATTTTCAATTTTGGACACAAGATTTACAGATTTAAGAGAAAAATTTAGGGCCTGTTTGGTATCTTATTTGAATTTTTTTATCATTTTTCAAAACATTTCTTGAAAACAATTTTCTTTAAGATTCAAAAACTTGATTGGTTTGCGATTTAAAATTTTTAAATCTTACGATTTAAAAGACAAAGAGATCTAAAAGAGGGGGTCGGAAGAGAGAGAGAAAGATGAGAGATGAAGAAATAAAGTAAGAGATGATTGAAGGAAAAAGAAAGATGAGAGGGGATCGGATGAGATACAGAGGAAGAGTAGTGAGAGAAATAACCGAGAGAATGAAGAGAGCGGATTTGAGGAGAGACGAAAAAGGTAAAAAAAAAAGAGGAGAGAAAGAAGAAAAGAGAGAGATAGATTTGGAGTGAGAGGGAAGGAGGGAAAGAAAAGAAAGCAGTGAGTTTAAGTTTAAAAACTCTAAAAACTCATTTTTTATGTTTTTAGAGAATAGACTATATTTTTGAGTTAGTCTTGAGTTCAATTTTTGAAAATAGTCCTACCAAACAAGTTTTTAAGGCCTAAAACTTGAAAATTATTTTTGAGTTTAAAAAGTTGGATTCAAGTAGAGTACCAAACATGCCCTTATATTTTTTCAGTATTCATATGTGTGGTAAAAAATTTATTAAGTGAAATATAATAATATTGATATTTTAATAAACACATGAAACTTAAAAATCAAAATTATTTTCGATAGGTAATCTATTTTTCTTTCAAATATTACATATTTCTTAATTTTCCTCTTCTTGATTATGTATGTTGCAAACGTGGAAAAAAATGTATTTGGTAACAATACAGTTTGATGTAAGTTGCAAACGTGGAAAAAAAATGCTTCCTATTATTAAGGAAATATGGATATCAATTGTGGAGATAACTAACTGTTGACCCTAAAAACTACCAAGCCTACGTGGCGCGTAGGCTGAGTAATCTATGAGCTAACTACGTCATTTGGTTGTATGCGGGGAGTGCCAACTCGTCGGCCGAGCTCGGTCGAGGAGTAAAATATGTTGATGTTGCGTTAGGTGCGCGGTTGACTTCTGCGTCTTACGATTGCAACCAAGGAAGGAACACGTCTCGGCCTCTTGAGTTCTTGAACCTGAAGACAAGGCTACTATTCTTACGAAGTTCACAAATCGTCGTCGTCAGATTCGGTCACAGTGATGGTATTCATCAGAGTGAACTCACGCCGAATCGACACCAAAGTGTAAGGGCACAAATACTCAAAGCAAATATAAGTCTTAACAATAAATGTGGTTCAGCCGTCGGAATGCCGAACTCTAAATCCTACTTGAGAGTATCCAATCATAAAATAACTCGGCATGCAATGTGCCGAGCCCAATAAACTGTAACACCTCACTTCGCCGAAAAGGCTAATGAGATGACTTCGACCAATAAGGATTCAGAAATTCTTCTCGACCGAGACTTGAATAGATAATCAGTCGCCCTCGACGCAGTGCTGTTTATGCCAACTGAAGATGCGGCGAGCTCGGCTAGTTCTACGGTGACAATGCTATTTATGCCAACTGAAGATATCACCGGTTGCCTTCACAGTGCTGTTCATTCAAACTGAAGGTGTGGCGGCGAAAAGAGAAAAGAAAAATCTCAAGGTTGTTGAGAGAATTTGTGCAGGGCAGTTGTGTGTTGAATTTGAGGGGGGTTGTTTCGATGTCTTCTCTTCCTATTTATAGCAGCCAACCTGTATTGAATCCCATTCATTCCTGGATTAGAACTCCTTCTCATAATCCATCTTTATCTCGACCAATCATATTCCTACTAGGACTTTGAACACAACTCATTATCAAACCGTGTTCAATCTCAGCATCCTGATCCCGTCGAGACTCCATCTCATAACAGGATTCATCCACATTCCTCTTTCCGATAGGATATGGCCTACTTCAACCGCTCGACCCATGGGCTGAATATCTTCTAATGACACCTGTTTATAACTTCTGGGCCGAGGATGAATCTAACCTCGGCCTATCCCACACTGGGCCCAAAAAGATCTAACTCAGCCCAAAACAATATTTTTGGGCCCAAACACTAACATCTCACTTATTTGATGAAACTACTATTACTGACAAAAACCAACTCTCCATGATAGAGGGAAATTGGTGAATGTTAATCTATATAAGGACTCTCTGCTCGTAAAGAAAAGTTTTGCGTTATTGGGTTCTATCACCTTAAGAACATTAAGTCTTTCAACGAGTAGAAGATATCATTTTCCTGTTCTGCAATGGCTACCTCAGGTATCATGTTGACATATGTTAGTAATCTAGAAAACCTGTTAATATTATGTACTCCTTGTTTTCCAACATTTGGTATTAGAGCCAAATTAACAAATCCTAGATTCAAATGTATGTGTCGAACTGCATATGTTTTCAGCATGTGAATTTTTTTATGAAATGTGTTGAACCAAAGCACATGACAGCATCGGCGGCAGCACTTATGCTTTCCATTATTCCATCCGACAACACATGACAGCACCAATACTTCCAATAAAATGCATGAGGTAGTCTTGCCTCATAAGTTTTTTAATATCATGCAACACTTACGATAATATTTTGAATTCACCAAAGTGAATGATTTGGATGTATATTCTGGCAAAGAAGGGTTTAAAGATTCATTGCATATTCATACTATTTTCCAAATGAAAGTATATAAAATGCGTAAGGTTTCAATGAATCATTCCTTGTATAATCTTGTAATTATCTTGTCCAAAGACTTGATATATCTGTGCTAAAAGATGATTGAAGTGGTCAGAATGTACATGATGACTTTGAAGGGGTGTTTATATTTCTAACCTAAGAGGGATATATAAACACATGCAAGTGATGCATGAAATTAAAATTGTATTTAATGTTTTATTTGGCTGCCTCAGCAACATCATCTGCACTTAGCCTTTCATCGATCGAGCCTCTTAATGGGGGAAACTTTAAATTGGTGGTAGTTTTAATCAATGTATGGTATCATGTAGATCAGGTAATATTCTTGTCCAAAGACTTGTAATAAATGCATGATAAGATTCTTGAATGATGGCTATACAATGAAGGTCAATGGCAGCTTATATCTCTTGCCCAAAGGTGTGATATAAACATGCATTTAACAATCACTAATGGTTGTTTCAAGTTTTTCATGTCTTCAACAGCCAAATTTTTATTCACTGCAAGAAAAGGAAAGTCAAAGGCTCTTCTTGATGGGTGTAGAGGTTGCGTACACCCAAGCGCACCAGATTGTAAGTATCACTAAATTTTGATGTATTTATGAGTGATTTAATCTAATTGGCATCTGAATTTTGATGGAATCAACCTATCACTATTTTGGTTTAATCTGATCCAAAACCCCTTAGTTTTCTTGTTATCAAGTTATCAATTGCTCAAAAATTGTATGTGTGTGAGTAACTGAAGTGAAAAATAGAAATACTTGATATCGTTTTGTAGTGCATGTAATTGATTCATCTATGGGAGTAAGAATCATACATGTTATTTCTATATGTGATTGATGCCTGACATAACCCTTACATGGGTAAGTCTGTTGCCTTTGATTTCCATTTGAATGGGTAAAGTAAATTCATGTAAATCAAGTTCTTAGCCTGCTGTGCTCTATGATAATGTATAGTTAATATATATTAACTGAATTGAATAGCCATATTATTGGTTGCTGTGGGAAATAATCAATATGGATTAAAAATCTCGAGTTCTGCAAACATGAAGCAAAATTGACATATTGTGTGTTTAAATAAGGAATGAGTTGTCCTACATTGCTTAAGCTTGAGATGAACCAATGCAAAGGCACAAATATATGTATAAAGTATAACCTTGTAGTATCAACTTGTGTACAAATGTTTTTCACCAAAGTGAAGAGACTTCAGGAAATGGATTGTGTAAATTATGAATTTAAAACTCAACACGTCAATATTCTTTTCCAAAGAGAGGAATGTGTGAATGGTTTGTGATCTTTTAGGGTATAACATTTTTACGGCTATTGAAATGTGGGAGTGCATGATAAGGATGCCCACGTAGCAAACATGGGTGTGCATGATGGTTTTGAATCAACTGAAATGTGGGAGTAAAGAAAGCGCTGCTGCGTAATTTTGATAGTATCTGGACCTGATGCTTGGCTTATCTTATTTTCCCTGTGGTTATTGTAAATAATGCCATGTTGATTCAGTTTATAATATATATTAGTACAACTAACTTATGTTCCAAAGAGCATGTTGGTTTTGTATGAGTATGCAGGAAGCTTGAAAAGCTAGTATCCAGTGATTAAGGTTGAAGGCAACATAAAGTTAGCTTTATAAAGGTACACTGGGTAATTGCATGTATGAATGTGTAGTATTTGCATGATTGTCAGTATGCCATTACAATTATGAAGTGATGGTTGAAGACTGAGTTGCAATAATAAATATGCATGTGCTGAATCTTTATGATTATTCCGAGTTATATAGCTTATATAACACAAAGTGGTATATGATTTTCAATTCAGTAAAGGAACTGTGATTATCCAAAGATGATCCATAAAGTTGATTGAATTGATTCATAGAAAAATGAATGTTAAGTTCATTGAAAGTTTGACATCATACATATTAGATTCAAATGACAGTGATTTTAGAGTGCATGTGCCAATGAGCTGCACATGGTTTTTTAGAGTTCGACATTTGAACTAATACTAGTAGATGTGGGGAAGCAAGTTACGTGTAACTGGATGTGATCACTAAGGAGTCAATATTGTAATTGTGATAACATTTCGATGAAATGATTAGTTTACGTCCAAGTGGGAGAATGCTAGAGACTTAATTGGACTAAACTATCATTTAGTGAAGGACAACATTTATTTGGTAACAATATAGTTTGACGTAAGCTGCAAACATGGAAAAAACTGCTTCCTATTATTAAGGAAATATGGATATCAATTGTGGAGATAACTAACATCCCAATTATTTGATGAAACTGCTGTTACTGACAAAAACCAACTCTCCATGATAGAGGGAACTTGGTGAATGCTAACCTATATAAGGACTCCCTGCTTGTAAAGAAAAGTTCTGCGTTATTGGGTTCTATCACCTTAAGAACATTAAGTCTTTCAACGAGTAGAAAATATCATTTTCTTGTTCTGCAATGGCTGTCTCAGGTATCATGTTGACATATGTTAGTAATCTAGGAAACTTGTTAATATTATGTACTCCTAGTTTTCCAACAGGTACTATCTACACACTCTTATTTTTACTTTTCACACCTTATTAATTTTGGTTCTTTGATATTTTATTCTTCAATTCATTTGACCAGACTGTTGTAAATTAAAAGTATGTAAAAGGTAATAAAGAAAATGTAAATACCATTATTCTTGATTATTCAATACAATGATCATAAATAAAATGTTGTAAGAAGCTAACATCCACTTTTTATGCATGTTGATAATTACCCTTTTTCTTCCTTTCTTTTTTTTCTTTTTCGTTCTTTCCCCACATTTTGGCCTCTATTGCTCAACCTATAGTCTGCAAGCCAAAATGTTTTGCAACAACCATTCAAACTGGTATACTCAAGTTCATAACCTTGGCGGCCTCCAGATCGGAGTTTCATAAATCATACAGAGAAGCAAGTAAACATTCACTAACAAATGACATAGTCGTACATTTATTTATTCACAAATCGTATTTAATCTTAATTTTGATCCAACATCATTGCCCAAACCCACATTTTGGCACTAAAAAGCTAAAGACTGACCTAAAAGAGCAGACACCAAATTCTTAATCATTCTTTTCCCATTCACACAGTCGAAACCAACCACAGGTCGGACTTTCATCGAAATTACTCACCGGAAAGTTTGCGGAGGCGATGCCGACCGATAATTCTAGCTCATCGTCGTCACGAGTCACTGAGACAATGCTCAGCCACAGAAAGAGCACCCTAACTTCGATGCCACTCAAGCTAGAGATCTTGCCAGTGGTTACAATACCCGTTATGGTGGACTTGTACTTCAGCTTATACGAGTCGATGGTAAATCTACAAGTGCTGTTCAAGTAGACTGAGAACTTACCTGTGGAGGTGTCCAGCTCGTAGCTCACTACGTCTTTGGGGAGTATGCCCACCGGGAAGTCGTACTCCTCGAGGGCTTCGTAAACCGTCAGCTCGTCGGCAGCGAAGGACGAGGGGATCAAGAAAGAGAGCAGAAAGAAGAGAATTAGGCTTGGTAGCAGTGTTGCCTTTGGAGACATGGTTTCGATCAAGTGCTTGACTGTTTGGTTATGCAGTCTCTAATGGTAGTTGGAATATATAGAGAAAATTTGAAAGGCAAAACCATGACTATTCCATCTAATTCGTTTCAGCATTCTTTGCATACAAGAAAACGCCACTCTCTCATAGGCTAAATTTTTATTTTGATAAGCGATATTTGGAGACGAGATTCGAACATAAGATCTCAGATGCAGGAGAAAACACTATTAACTATTTGAGCTACCGTTCTCTTATTCTTGTAGACTAATTGGTTATTACGTATACAAGAATTAAAGCACTAAAGCTGAATATGAACATCCTTTGAAGTATGCTAAACATTTTACCGCTAATTAACGATATATATACATAGAGGTAGCCCTACTCTTACGCGGAGAATGTATGGATCGAGACACGCAGCTTCGACAAGTCTTTCTACCAGATACTACTGGGAGATGTCCAGCTTGCTAGTTTGCCACAAATATAATTCCTGCTTTGTTGACTCTTTTTTTTTTTTTAATGCTAGGTTGGATCTAGGTCAGTGCAGTTCTACTTGTTGAGCTAGCTCTACTCTTACAAGCAAATCCACACCCACACTGCGGACTCTCCTCAAAGTTGTCGATGGAAAAGTCTGCCGAAGCAATCCCCACAGAGAATTGTAGCTCGTCGCCATCGCGAATAACTTCGACAATGTTGAACCAAAATAATAGTATCTTAACACTGACGCCATTCAAATTTTTGAGCCTGCCCTTGGACAAAACACCAGTTATGGTGGATTTGTACCTGAGGTTGTATGAATTTTCAATGGAGAAGCGGCAAGTTCCGTCAAAATAAACCTTGAAATTTCCAGATTCTTTGTCTAATTCGTACCCTGTTACTCCTTTGGGAAGAAGGCCGATCGGGAAGTCGTATTCTTGAAGCACCACGTATGCCGATGGGTTGTTGTCGCCATAGGCGAACGAGGATGAGAGAATGGCCACGAGAACGGCAACGAGAAACACCATTGACGGAGCCATGAGTTCCAACTTGAAGCTTTCTTGCAGCTATTTGGTTTAGTAGAAGAAGTGAGCTATGGGAACAGAAGGGACTTGTATATATCGATGTTGAGTGGGAGAATGCTTTTCATATGTGCTATTTGTCACCAATCTCATCAATGGTTTGGGTCTATTCTGTCGAACCACATCATCTGCACGACCAACACACTAACCATCTCACCAAAAGCTCACCTCCTGTATCCCTGTATTCTGGCCCCACCCACCGTGTCTTTAGTCACCATGTGGCGTTTAAACCAAAGACTTTCTCGTTGGTCGGAGGTATCTTGATCAGATACATCCTGAATAATATTGGAAGTTACTAGTGTAACATCCATGCAGACGCATGCATGGTTGTCAGCAGATGGTGATTGGCGAAACCTCACACATAATGCTTGCTTATCAGTCAATTCATCAATGAAGGGAGAGAGAATGACGACGTTGGAGATAAAAATTACCTTCGAAGTTGTATATTAAACTCAATTTTGCATCGGTGTATCTTATACGTACTCTGGTTTATTCGAAGTATCTCATTGGTAACGCCGTTGACGTGTCAGACGATCAAAAGATCAACTAGAATGGCACTGACGATGACCGTTGAGGCCCCTTTTGTTAGTCGTCGTTAGGGGGCACTGGCTTGGCTGGGATATGAATCCAATGTTTGGCGCTGGGAAGAGTAGAAAAAATGATGCTAAGTCGGACTCGTGTCAACTAAACGCCGCGCTAAGTTGCATTAATTATCTAATCCTGAGTGAACGTTGTGGTACTACCGTACTAGCTATCCACGCTTACACTTCATGCTCTCGCTCTCGCAGAGAGCAGCGTTCTTCGTAAGCCCCCTGCAAGCTGCCGCCGACTCCTACATTGCCGTTTCGTCGATCTTCTGAAGAATCAGGTCAGACAGTGGGCCGCCGACACCCCAAATTTGAAACTCTTCATACATGTTGTTCAGTTCAGACTTTGGGTTAGATTAATTTGTTAGGTTCGCTCCCATTTGTTCCACTGTAATTTCTTAATTCATCGGGTTTTGCTTCCCGAAGAAGAATGGCTTTGAGAAAGAACCAATCCATCCGACAATCAAAAAATAAAAGGGGTATGTAAAAATAAGTATGTGAATAGCACAACCCCTTTGATAATTAACTAGGTTTTTAGAAATTGGAATAAGTACAAAATAACAATTTAATAATAAAACAAAATAAATGTTTTTATTGTCCATCTTCTTACTCGTGCGCTGCAACAATTTTTCACAATTCTTGTACATGCCAATTCAATTCAGCTTAGTTCCTGAAGTTAGTTCAGTACGAGATTGTCTGGTGTAACAAATTCAATTTAGTCCCTGAAGTTAGTTCAGTCTGAGATAGTTTGGTGCAACAAACACATCATCAACACGCATGCTTCGAAAATCTAGTTAGATGGGCCAAAAAATGGTTATTTACGAATAGATGGACTCACTTCTGATTCTCTGAACAATCCCCATCGAAACCAGAAGCAAGCCCACTTAAAATTCTTACCGTGACAAAAGTTATCACTATTGCTGGTCTTCCAACACCTCAAAACACTCATCCTTTGAGAAATTATGCCATCGGCATATAATATGTGCAGGAAGAAAATCTTGACGTAAGACAGATTCAACAACATTACCAACCAATTCTCACTCCAACAAAAAAATCATCTCAAATGTAAGCACTGAAACAGAACTGTATCAGTTTAAAAGTTAAACGAGACTGGTTCGGATGGTAAGTAGAACAGATACTCGAAGGTATTGCTTGTTGTCCACCCCGACTGATTTCAATTTTCAGAGATATAAGGCAAATCTTAAACCACTTCAAGAAAAATAAATCATCAATACAATAACCAATTAGTAACTATGAACCTGATACATACAGAAGAATCTCTTGCATGTCCCGTGATACATTCCCAAGACAACAATTGGCACCCACAAATAATTTGGATGTGCTTTTAAAATGACTGAAAGCGCTTTGAGTGAAAATGTTTTTAGAACCAATCTTTAGTAAAGATGCAAGTAAACCCCGAACAAGCACTTAAAAGTGCTTCTTGGAAGAAGCACATTATTGGTGCTTCTTGCAAAAAACACTTTAAGTGCTTTTGGAACCCAAAAACATTTTCTCTAAAAGCGCTTTCAGTCATTTTAAAAGAACATCCAAACAAGCCCAAAGTTAGGAACAAAAACGCTATGAAATAATTCCAATCACAATGAATAAGGGAACTTGTAGGGGAGGGGGAAGGACAAGGATCATACGTACAACTATATAAAAAAATCAACTCACATCCTTGAGTCTTTTAATCAATGTATCTAGAGATTTCTTCTTCGGGTTCTGCCTGCCTCCCCGGCTACCAAAGGTTCCAAATAGCCGGTCTGAAGGATCCCTCAACTTTTCTGAAATAAGCACTACTTTTCTGTGGTCCAAGGTATTGTAACTCCTCTCCCTGATTACCGGATTAAGAAAATTCTCTGGATGATTGCTCAAGAGTAAATTAACTAATTGCCTCGACTCAGCAACTGCCGTTTTCAACTGATTTGCTTCCTCATCTGAGAGTAGAGGAGCTTGATTATCTGCAAAAGATTCCAACAATCGAATATCTACATCAATGCTCATAATTGCTTGTACGGTAAACCTCTTAACTGTGTCCCCAAGTAAAGCCCCAACTATCTTCTCCGATATGTGAGAAAGGACATCCTGCAAAACTCGTTTGAGAACCTGAGGAGGCAATATTTGCTGAGCAGTGGAAACCAGAGTTTCCAAATATATGATCACCTCGTTCACATATTCATTCCCATTCGGTAAAGGCTCATCGGCCACCCAGTTCACATTCTCAATCAACATCAGGAAGCCATCCACTTTTTGTTTAAGCAACCCAGAGAGTGTGTCTTCTGCTGCATCACGGGCTTTGCATAGAGGAAACTGCCTCCTCCCTCTCTCCACCATTCTCAAGGGAACACCAGAAAGCTGAGCAGCATGTCGGAAGAAGAAATCGCAAGCTCGCTCCATTACAACCATATTAGCCGCCACCTGCATTGCCTGGGAGACCCCATGGATAGACGTACTGATAAGCTTCAAAAGAGCCCCATCCAAATCCTCACTCAACAACCTATCCAAATACTTCTTCACAACATCAAAGAAATCAAGCTGCCCGCCATACGACATGAAACTCACAGAATCCTCAATAAAAGACCTTACAATGCGGCAACAATCAGGCACTGTCGAACTAAATGGTGCAACGTAAGGAAAAGCCGGTATGATATCAGACGTCTGTATCTGAAACGAAAGCACATTCATGGAAAACTCATACTCTTTCTTCATCAACATCTGATCGAATTTATCAGCGGAAAGCGCTTCAGCAATCTGTTTACGACAATCTGACAACAAGAGCTCATGATACTTATCCCTATGTTTGCTCAGGACATCAAGCAAAGGATCAACCAAATATCCATACCGACGCAATGTTACACCTAACAAGCTCACATAGTCCTTAATCAACAACAAATGGTTGGCAGTTTGCATCCTAGAAAACTGATCCTCTAAAACAGAACACATTTTACTCACAGCAGTTTCCCACAAATTCTCAACCTCCAATTTCGATACCAAACTACCACCGGTCCTCACAATTCGATCCTCAACGATGAAAAATCCGGCGATTTGGGCAAAGAAAGTTTGATGCGATTCAAGAAACGGAGTCATGGAAGATACCTGAAAGTCGGAAGTGAGCTGAAGCTTTCGATTCTCGAAGTAATACTGCTTGAATCGGTCTTCAAGCCCTAGAGTCTGGTGTATATGATAAGCTCTGTACAAGGGAGTCAAATCGAATCCACCTCCGCCATTAAAACCGTCATCTCCAACCCCACCGCCGCCGAGTCCGTCGTCGTCCTCTTCCTCCAAAGCGTACACACAGTCTCTGAGGCTGAGGCGGCTCTGCTCCTCCGCTTGCCGCTGCTTGATTCTCAGATCCTCTTCCCGTTGCCTCGCCGACGAAGCTTGACCGATCGCCAATTGACCGAGGTTCCGACTCACCACTCGGATCTCCACCAGCCAATCGCCGAACTCCTTGCTGACTTTCCGTTCGATGTGCAACCGAATGTCTGGAATCTTCTTCTCCAGCATCCGCTTCAGCGTAGACGACGGCGTTTTGACCAGGAACTCGGACTCGATTGTGTCGACGCACTTGAGCGCCATGTAAAAGTTGCTGTTGGAAAGATGGCGATTGGATCGGGAGCAGAGCTCCAACAAGCGACTACAGTTTCGGACCGATTCAAGCGCGAGGTTGACGTTCCGGGAAACGTTGCGGGCTTCGACGAAGGCGTCGAGGGAGGAAAGGAGAGGAAGGCCGACGGACTGGAGCTTGGCGTTGGAATCGGAGAGGGAAGACTTGAGGGAATCGACGTCGGAGAGGAGAGATCGGAGGTCGTCCACGGCGAGGATGAAGTCTTGGTAGTGGGCCTTGCAGACCTCCTCGATTTCAGACTCCTTGGAGCGGGAGAAGTGGCGGAGGTGCTGGAGCAGCGTCTCGGGCTTCCCGGAAGTAAAGGCCTTTCGGACGAATGGGCCCACATCCTCGCCGTTGCAGATGGCGGAGGAGAGGAGCAACTGATCGAGTTTTTCAGCCGAGTCGCCGTTTTCCGCAGCGGACGGAGCCACTTTCCGCCGAGATTTCGTGTGCTGCATCGTGGCGATGTGAGAGAATAGGGCGCGGAGAGGATTTAGGAAAAATGGAAGAGAGAGAGAGAGAGAGTGGGGTAGTTATTTGGACATTTGGGGATTTTTTGTTGTTTGACGGAAATGCCACCAATAATCAGGGAAATATTATGTGGAGATTGGAAGATAGTAGGTGCTGGTGGTTGATAGATTGTTGTGGGTGGTTTGGTAATTAGGAAGATAGTAACAATCAACGGCGGTTCTGACAGAGCAGTGTGACGACTCGGGTGGTAAGAGTGGACCGGTCTTGACCGGAGGGAGGTCAACGAGAAAATTAGGCCATCTCCAATCTAACATGTTTAATACGACGCTGTCCAGATGTCAAGTTATATTCATATACTATCTTAAACCGAAGTTCTTAATAATTTTTTAGTTTAAGTTTCCACTTTAAATTTCTTGGTTCATTTACCGTGGGATGTTTTTACATTCTAGTCGTTAAATTTGAATCAATTATTGTAATTGAAGAGTTAGACTTCATAAAAGAGATTAAGAGGGGGGCTACAATTGACCAGTCTGATGTCCTTTTAGCCAAATAATTACTTGAGGACTCCATAAAATTATAGCTCATTCATTAATTGAAGATGAATTTTTGGACAAAGCAAACCAATTTTAACTTTTGAACCTTTAACTATCTATATTGAAAATAACCTTACATATGTTTTTTGGCCTCTTATTTAAAAATGAAATAAAATTCCTTGTCAACAAAAGTAATAAAAAAAAGGGATGTGATATCCACACATCATTTTTTACTTCTCTCACACCCCTTTTAAATTTCGGCCGTTCGATCGGATGAATTGAAAAATATCAAATGATAGAAATTAATAAGGGACGGGGAGAAGTATTCTAAAAAAAATTAATAAAAGAAATTGAAATTGCATGTGGCCTCGTGGGCTTAAAGAACAAGAGAAACAAACAAAGCCCAAATCCCTTAAAACTGCATAAGAAAAAGCCCCATTTACATATAAAAACCTAAACAAAAGACCAAGTTTGGCTTTCCCTGCAAAAAACCCTACACCCCGCCTCTCTGCCTCAAGAGCGTCAAAGCAGCAGCCGCAATGGTAATCTCTTCCTCCAAACCCTAACGCCGCCGTCTCCATTTTCTCCTCCTCCACTCTCTCACTCTCTCTAACTATCTCTCTCCTCCTCGTGTCTGTATTCGCAGGGTATCGATTTGGTCGCCGGTGGCAAGAGCAAGAAGACCAAACGGACAGCCCCAAAGTCCGATGATATCTACCTCAAACTCCTTGTCAAGGTCCTCCCTCGAATCCAAATGTTTCTGGGTTTTTGTTATTGTTTGTGTTTATGTTTCTGAATTGTATGTTGTGGGTATTTATGTTTTCGGATCTGCGTTTTCAGCTGTATCGGTTTCTGGTGAGGAGGACCAGCAGCAAGTTCAATGCCGTGATTCTGAAGAGGTTGTTCATGAGCAAGGTGAACAAGGCCCCTCTGTCCCTTTCCCGATTGATTAAGTACATGACCGGAAAGGAGGGTAAGATTGCCGTGGTGGTCGGGACTGTGACCGATGACATTCGCGTTTACGAGGTTCCTTGCCTGAAAGTGACGGCCCTCAGGTTCACCGAGACCGCCAGGGCTCGGATTGAGAAGGCCGGAGGCGAGTGCTTGACTTTTGACCAGCTGGCTCTCAGAGCTCCGCTTGGCCAGAACACGGTACGTCGATTTGATAGTTGCATTTGGTTTGCCTTATATGTGAATTGCAATGTTAGGAGGCTGTGTTTAGTTATCGAAATGATGTGCGAATTCGTGAGTTGGTTTAAATTGGTTTTATAGTTTCATAGTTGGGTTTCAGAACCGAGCACAATGACGTTCTAGGATTTGTTTAGTTTTATAGTAGGGTTTGATTGTTCAATTATGCGTTTTTGCCTCCAAGTGTGCGCTGAAAACCAGAAACCAGCGGAACAGTAGAATCTGATGGAAAGTAACATGATCTTGTAGTCATTTAGTCATAAGCCATTTAAAATCGAATGTTTAAAACCTGTGTTAAATATACTGGGTTCACCGAAATGGTTGCTTTTGGGTTTTGGGTTGTGCCGGTGTTGGTGTGCGATATGCTATGATGGCAACCGATAGCGTGGTAGATAGTTTATATGGATTTAGTTTAGTGGTCGTCATGTAGTTGACTGTTTCATGGTGATGAGAATCATGAACTACGTGCTGCCGGATGTAGGAACCATTAGGTAGTGAAATGAATAGAAGGTGCAAGATAGTGGTGGGTAGAATTTTGAGCCATCAGCAATACTTAGTTCTTGTTTTTATTGTATGCTTGTGGAACTTTCGAGTTTGTTCCATTGTACAATAACATTACAAATCTACACGAGTATATTGTTTTGCAATACGAGACTCATTCCCTTACGCCGTTCTATGTTCTAATAAATCTGTTTCGATTGATCATTTTTTTTGTTTAAAGGAGTGTGTGAATAACAGGGTTCTGTCAACTGATAAACGTTAATCTTTTTCTGCAGATTCTTCTTAGAGGACCTAAGAATGCTCGTGAAGCTGTGAAGCATTTTGGACCTGCTCCTGGTGTTCCACACAGCCACACCAAACCCTATGTGCGATCAAAGGGCAGGAAGTTCGAGAAGGCCCGTGGAAAGGAAACAGCAAGGGTTTCCGTGTTTAAGCTTCGCTAAAGGAGTTATATCCCTATTTCCAGTCTTGTTTTCTTCACTTTGTGTTTTTGGTGGAACTCTTATGTTTATCTATAGCTTACCTTCATCTGTATTTCGTTATTCCCTACGACTGTTTTAGCTTCGAGAGGAAGATCTTTAGATGTTTGAAGGATTAATGGCTACTTAAGGAATGTATGCTAGTAGTTAAGATTTTGTTGAATTCGATTTTGGTTCTCAACTACACGAGATATTATTAATTTTCGCGTAAGCAAGCTTGGGTTGATCGGTGAATTTTTTTTCCTTAATCCTTGACAAATCTAACCAACTTATGCGATGCCTGTTAAAAGGCTGTGTCGAAATGAAAAAGAGCCTCTGGTGCGAATTAGATCCTACCTTGCCCCCTTTCGCGGACAAAGATGATGAATTCTGATTCATCGTATCCTAGTTTGGGACTGAAGGAGCTGAAATCTGCAGCTCCCTGCCGTGACATGGCAGTGCTGAAATCTGCAGCTACTGCCGTGACAGGGCAGTGCAGAATTTTAGGCCATCTCTAACTAAAAGGTCTAGAGGATCAGAGGGTCGAAAATAGTTTTTTAAAACCGTCTCCAACTGAGGCTTAGGCCAAAGAGTTTGTGGCCTCCACTGGACAAAAAAGGGCCAATCAGCCAGCTCAAATGAGCCAGCTAGCCCCGGGCCGGGCTGGAATTCAAATGCAATGGTTAGTTGATGTTAGCTAGCCGTTATTAGGGGTGGAATTTTTTCCCGAAAATCCCGAACCGTCCCGATCCCGTCCCAAAATTAGCCCGAAAAATTCCCGAACCAAATTTCCCGAAACGTTCGGTACCCGAAACCGATCCCGAACCGAAAGTTTCGGTTTGGGAATTGGCCACAGATTTGAAAGCTTTCGGGAATCCCGAACCGAACCGAATATTATATATATATATATATATATTTATTTATTTTTAATTTTTAATTAGCATTTACTTGAACCGTTGGATTTGTTAAAATCAAATCCAACCGTCCATAGTTAGGTCCTTTGTTTGTTAGGTTATTTCAGACTCTCTCAGTCGCTCTCGCTCTCTCACCTCACTGGCGCCGCTCGCCTCACTCACTCTCACAGTCCCCCCGCTCCACTCCTCCGTCGAATCCACGCCGCTCCTCATCGTCCACCCCGCTTCTCTCGGATGACGATGAGAATCCACGCCGCTCCTCATCGTCATCCGCTAATCCTCATCGTCGAATCCACGCCGGTCCTCATCGTCATCCGTCCCGAAAAACCGAAAATATGGCAACCGCTCCATCTCCATCGTCATCCGCATCGTCAAAATCGTCAAAGGGATGGATAAACAGCATCTCAGCGATCGCCTCTCGTGTCTACTTCTTCCTCATCATTCTTCAGATCCCGCTTTTCAGGTACTCCAGTTCTCACTCCATTAATCCCTACACTCTCTGTATCCAAATCTGTGTACTTTTTTTCTAATTTTGATATAATCCCTAGTTGTTCAACTTGTTTGGCTATCTGGGTTTGCTTATTTTTGCTAATTTCCATGTTTTTGTATCTGGGTATTTGGTAATTTTTCGGTTTGTCGAATCTCGGTTGGTTAAAGTTTGAAACCCTCTGTGGGTTTATCTGGAATTTGGATGCACATTTTGAAGCTATTGGGACCGTATTGTTGATTTGGACTTCGATTTTACTGAAGGATTAAGTATATTATTTGTTTTAGATTGGTCGATTGAAATTTGTGATACACGGAGTTTGGCTTTTGGATCTGCAAAAAGGGATTTAGTTTAGCAGTTGAATTGATACACTTTCGGGAATCCCGAAGTTTCCCGAAAATCCTGAAACACTTTCGGGAATCCCGAATTTCGGGATTCCAATAGTTTTGGTTCGGTTTCGGGATATAAAATCCCATCCCGAAATGTTTTGGTTTGGGAATCGGGTTCGGGGTTTCGGTTCGGGATCCCGACCCGAACCAGCCCTAGCCGTTATTTTATTTATTATTTTTTTTAACAATTTTTTTTTTAAAATTTCCCTATGCCTTTCTAAACCATTAAACATTACATAACATTAAGCTAGCAATGGCTAGCTGACGTCACTTAGCCGTTGAATTTGAATATAAGTTGTAGTTTTTAAATAATAAATTATGTTTAGCCTTCGGTTGGATGGAAACAGGTTTTTGTGACAGGGCTTAAAACGAGCCCTATGACGCTTTGACATTCGGTTGGAGATGGTAAAAAATATGGCATTGCACTGTTCATTAAAATATTAATTTCTTGAAAGACCAAAGGGCTAAAACGAACTCTATGGCCAGCCTTCAGTTGGAGATGGCCTTAGGATCAGTAAAAAGTCTGTTGGAATCATCTCCACTACTAGTTATGCCTCCCTGCCAAAGCATTCTTCCAAGTCGCTTCGAACGAGGAGATGTTAGGTGCAAGTAGTAGTCCAATTACTTGGTCCTGGTGTAACAGAGAAATGAGGCCAACAGCATAATTGAAAGACACAAGCAGCTCTGCATATTATTAAATGATTGGGGTGACAGTTACAGAACCGGCAAACCGAAGGACGAAAACCTCAAACACAACTAATTTCAGACATCATCACCCTAACCTGTAAGGGCGTAGAAGAAACCCTTCAACTGCAAAGAGAAACAAACTAAAGGAAGCTGGCGTGCTCGTCTAGCTAATAGAAATCAGAACTTCTTGATGAAGTCGTAGACATGCTGACTGACTTCGTCTGGCTTTTCCTGGTTAATGAAGTGAGCTGCATCTTCCATCACAACCACCTCTTGCAGAAACGGCACATCTCTCTTGAACCCACCCTTATGTATGTAGTTCTGGATACCTGGAATATGATAGGTGATGTCCAGGTCCCCCACGATAAACTTAACCGGTACCTTGATCTGTAGCCCCGTCCACGGTCCAGTAAGCTCCCAGGTTCTGCAACAACGAACAAACAAAGTACAAAATTACTTCTTCAATCTAAGAAAGAACCATGGCTTTTGATAAATCGAAATGAATTCAGAAGGGTATGTACAATTGTACATACAAGTTCAAAGCTCGATAGTAGTTCAATCCTCCGGTAAATCCTGTCTTGCTGAACTTGCTTGCAAAATAGTTAACGTCCTCTTCTGTCAGCCAAGCGGGCAAGGTCACTGGAGCTGCCCAAGATTTTAATCCTTGGTCCTTAGGTATGCATGGAGGTTTTGGACTGCGGCCGGTGAGAAAACATTTCATGACCGCTGCAGTATCAATGCTATCAAAATCTTGTTCGATCTCTCCCGGTTCCTATAACACAAACAACAATTATTTTTTTTCAATTTGTAAGTTAAAATAAGCATTTGAGTAACAAGAGCGATGCCGCAACAAAATCAGGAAGTAACAAACTTGAACATATTCAGTCCTTGACATTAACAAGGTTACAAATTAGTCCCAAATGGGTTAGATTAATTAATCCCCAACTGTTTTTAGCCGACGAATTTTCAGCATTGAAAATACTCCATAACATGAAAATGAATTGGCTATGATCAATCGATCTTCTACTTTAACGTAATCTAAACTACGGGAAGGGGGATCACATCCACTATGGCCAAATGTGGCTATGCTCGTGTCTACAAAACCAAAATTATATAGCTAAACAATAGCATTAAGTAATTCTGAATGCCTGATCAATACTAACTATAGTAAAATGTATATTCCATGAAAGTTATACCATCTTGGTAAATATTGAGATTTGACTATCTCCTTATGAGATCAAACAATTTTAGAACTTTACTATGTTTAAGCCCTCACGTTGGAAAAAGATTAACCAAAAACAGACAAAATAACAGAACTTCCTCTTTTGTGCAGAGAAAAAAAGGGGAATTGGAAAGATTTGTTACTATGCACTACGGTCGGTGGGATTCCCTCCACCTGTAAGTGAGAGCAGGGCAGATGGACATTAGGACCAAGGTGGTCCCAGGACTGCCGGAGTTGAAAAATAAACATGTGATACATGTGAAGTTTTCCTAGAAACTCAAATATTTGGTATGGATTTCTTTTATGCCTACCAGGTGTTTGTGATATAATGTCTGCTAGTTATATCCTAATTCTGTGGATATCAATCATCAAATTGCTTCACCATATATTGATATGTGGGATCTGTTGATATGAGCGTTACATAATTTGACTGACAATACCAAACTTGACAAGTGTTGGACGAAATGCCAAAATTGTACTTTTAACACTGGGACCTAGGAATTTGAACACTGGATCCACCACTGAGTGGTAGGTATGAGGTTTGACTCCCACGAGTTAGATAGCTGATGTGAAACCTAGTCCAAATCCTCCGTCTTAGTATGCAAATATATCGTTGTATTCCAATAATTCGCAAAAGGGTTAAAATTTCCAGATCAGATCGAAGCAGAAACTAAAAGTCAAAGGAATCTGATTACCTGAAACCTGCAAATGTAGTAATCGTCGCCAAACAGTGCCCTGAAAGTATCGATAGGCTTTCTCTTAGGGTTCCTGGGACTGAACGCCACGCTCATGTTGACCAAGGCTTTGACACGGTCGGGCCGGAACAGGCAGAACCACCAGGCCATGACGGCACCCCAGTCGTGGGCGACCAGGAAGACTTGGTCAATACCCAGATGGTCAAGCAGCCCGATGAGGTCGCCGACTATGTGCATGGCCGTGTAGGACGTCGGAGACGGCGGCGCGTCGGTGTCACCGAAGCCTCGGAGGTCGGGGGCTATGCAGCGGTATCCCAAAGAAGAGAGAGAGAGGAGCTGGTGGCGCCAGGAGTACCAGAGCTCCGGGAATCCGTGAAGGAAGAGCACCGGTGGGCCCGTTCCGATTGAAGCGACGTGCATGTTTATGCCGTTTGTGGGCACCGTCGTATGCTCGATGTTCTCCATTGTTGACACTGTGCGCGTTTCTTGTTTTTTTTTGTCGATAGTGTTTCTTGGTCTCTGTTTATCTTCTCCTTTGTGCTTGGTCTGGTTCTGTGGGTATATATATGGAGGAAAATGAATAGGAATTTATCCTTTGTGCTTGGTCTGGTTCTGTGGGTATATATATGGAGGAAAATGAATAGGAATTTATCTTTTCAGATAAAATTCTATAAATGTTAGCCGTCTTTTCTGTTTGTTTTTTTTATCTGCTTTTTTTTACTCATCATTTTTATTAATTAAATAGATTAAAAAATTAACTATTTTAGTTGTATTATGACAAATTTATTTTTAAGTACATCGATATTTTTGTATTAAAAGGAGAATAAGTTTGGCTAAGCCACATAATTGACAACTTAATTGGGTATCGAATTCGCCATTTATGAGATTCGAACTTTAAGACCTTTCACTTTTAAGTGAAAAGATATCATCAGACTATAGTGTTAAGTGACAATTGAGTGCTTTAATAGTACTTTTGTACTTCTTTTGATTTTCTAGCATGTGATTTGCTATATCATTGCTTGAGTAGTTTAAAATACGATCATATCTTAACATTCTAATTTCATGCAAACTCTTTTCAGATTTGAAAGATAATTGATTCGAAAGAAATCCATTAGCAAACATTGGTACATTACAACGGAATGAGATTTCCTTTGGATCCCTTTCATCCGTACTCTTCGGATCCTACAATTATGAAGCTGAAGAGATTGATAGAGATTGATATGGAGAAGCGAGAAGACGATGAACATGAAAAGTTTGAAAGTGAATAGAAAATTAATTCCTAACCCACTCCAAGCATTGATAAGTTAGTTTCTCGAATTTATGAGCTTAACATGCAATGGTCAGTTGTATACCTAATAGGCTAATACTACGTGCCAAAATGGCGACACCATTCTGTCGCTACCACCAACACTAATAAAGAGACATTCAAACCATTGTCCATCATGGTGAAGCAGGATAGGGTTGCCTGGATAGGCAAAAATGCGGTATATAGAGTGATCAATGCGATATCAACTTGTATAACACGAGTGTACCGTTGTGATAGCGTGTTGTTTTAAAAATACAAATTAACATTTGCCTACATATTTTTTGTGTATAAACACAATTTTTTTTTTAGAAAATGAGAAGGAGAGAGGGAGGGAGAGAACGTGGGGGTGTGAGATGTTTTTGTTTTTGATTTTTTTTATAAATATTGGAGGTATTTTAACATGATGTTTCAATAAAAAACAGTAAAATTTAGACATGTGAAATTACATTATTGTCCATCATTTTTTTTGTGTGATAGAAAACTAATTTGTCTTTTCACCCTCTTTTGGTTGACAAAAAAGGTTTTATTAATTAGCAGAGACATATGTAAAGAGAAACTAACACATGTTTTTTTAATATGGCATGGGGCACTACCATATACAACTCACTTTATATAATTCTTTCTCTATCGTTACACATCATGCAAACATTAATATACTGAATTGAATAAAGGACGATTCCGAGCCAACAAGGCTTTTTCCTTTGCAAGGGTCAAAGGAGGAGGAACTTCTATCGAACACACCTTTACTCTTGTTTTGCAAATAGGTTGTTTTCATAATTGGAACACGTGACCTTTTGAACGCAAAAAAAACAATCATTTCATTGCACCAAACCCGCATTCAATGGAGAGATTTTTCAGTGTGACAGGTACACGGGATGGTACATCACATGTCACTAAACAAATGATGACACATGTGTGCTAAAAAGTTAATAACTTAAAAAATAAATTTTCTCACAATTCACGTGGTGTATCACTTGTGTTCCTGTCACAACTAAAAATTTATCCTTTCAATGGACTGAATTGAATGCATTCAATATTTCTTAGGTGACAGCGGGGATAGGCACTTAATAGTTTATGGCCAGGATACCAACAAACACACAAATTAATTGAAATTTAATGCATTCAATATGATTTTGCAGAAGATAAAACCAGGTTCGTGATTTATGAACATTCAGTATTTGGCCCAAACCCACATGTATCGGGCAGGGTTCAGACTTGTTTTCACCTGAAAATCTGATGAGGTTATGTTGGGGAAGTGTATTTTGGCCCAAATCAATTTAATGAGCTTAGGCATCCCATCCCATCTGCACTTCTGCAGTTGTTGACGCAGGCCTATTGCATAGTTTAGTCCTTCGTTGGACTGAAAACATATTTCAGAATAGATCGAAATTTCGAGTTTGATTCTTATAAATTTGAATAATAATTACTCAATAAAAATTTCTTTCAATTATATAATGATACGATGTACCATCCCATATTTCGGCCACACTAAATATTTCCTGTGACATGCATGCATATAAGAGAAATAACTTTAGCAAGAGCAGCTAGCTTTCGTCGGGCACATATGCACGTCCTCGCAACCACCGCTCTCTTACCACCCTCCTCGAAACCACTCTCTCTTCAATTACCAATCCAAAGGCCTTAGATCCCTCTCTTCTCAAAACCCTACCTACTTGCACTTACTCTGCCACCACCGGTCCACCACTGCTACCGGAAACGCCCTTATAGCGCCTCTGTAGTGCGCAGTTTGCTAATCGGAGTTCGAAAACCAACAGCAAGGCCATGTACTACCCAAGTGCAACCATGCCTTCCATATCGACTATATCGACACTTGGTTTCAGTCGCAGTCCAATTGGCCACTTTGCACGGCGCCGGTTCAACCCGATATTCCAGATTCTAAGCTGGCCCGAAATATCAATCAGCAAGGGAAGAGTGAGGGTAAAATGGGTTTTTCGAGACTTGCGTCGTGGACGAGTATATCACCGGAACAGTGTTGACTTTGGGACGAGAGTAAGTGTTGGATCGCACAGGGCCCTAAAATTTAAAAGGTCCCCAAAACAATTTCATATCTTATATATATATATATATATATATATATAGCATTATTTATATTATATCTGAATGTGATAAAATAAAATTTCAAGCGTCCTACAATATTACAAATTATACTTGCGATCACTCATGTTGCATGAAAGGTTAAATGGGTTTGCTTTGATATGTATTGAAAGGGGCTTTGTAGATAAAATTGATTATGAAGGTTTACTTGATGAGTTTGCAATAAAGAAGAACTATTTTTAAGTGAAACTTCAATGCTGGATTTTTTGAAGCTTTTGTTCATTTGGTTTCTTAAGATTGAACTGATTATTGATTATTTAGTAACACTGTAATATGGTTTCTTAAGATTGAACTGATTGTTGATTATTTAGTAATAATATGGTTATTTTTTTTACGTTTATTTACATATAATAATATTTAAAACTGTCATTAGTGTGAGTTTAAAAGTTTGCATCACTTTTAGTTATTGTTTTTTAGTATCAATACATTGTTTAAATTTTTTTAAAAGACAGTTTTAAGAAGGGTCCGATGGGGGAGAAAGCCATTCAGGGAGGTGTTGGGGTATTTGTGGAGAAGGTGCCTAACCGTATCGATTTTGGTTCACCAAGAAACAATTGCAGTGGACAAAAAAGTTCGGGTTCGTGAATCGGGCACCCAGATTCTGTCCTTAAAGAGGATTTGGAGCATAGAGACACAGAACAATATGATCCATTTGGATTTTGGGACTTTGCACTTGGCAGTGCAATGGGGGAAATAATCTAATTGGCGCTTTTGTTTTTCCTTGGCAGCATTTTGGTACACCTTGTGATTGTGTTGTATAATTTGTTTTGTTTTTGTTTTTTTTTTTATTTTTTTATTTTTTATGGAAGAAAGGTAATAACAATACACCAAAGTTACAAACAAAGAGGTCCAATTACAAGAGAAACACAAAATAAGATATGGACCCCAAAACAAAGCTCAAATAAAGGAGGGACGCTTTAGCATGAGGCGCGGCGTCTAGATCTCTTGTAACCTCCTTGCACTACTTTTTCTAGTGTTGCTTTGGTTGTTTGCTTCATTATAAGCTTTCGGTTTCCTTTGGCATCTTTGCCCGGTGAATAAATTTTTCAGATTTCCAAAAAAAAAAAAAAAACAAAAAAAAACAAAGGTTTTGAGCCCATAAACAGACAAACCAAACAGCAAACCCTCCTCATGCAAGAACAGCCGCCGCTGAAGTATCTCCGAGATCATGCCGGAAACCATATCTCCACACAGACTCCATAGGTCCAGCCTTTTAACTTCGCATAATTGATGAAAGAGATCACTCTAACATCCTCCAAAAAGCATCACGCAAATCGGAACCACAACCACAAACCAAAGGAAGCTAGTGAGAGATGACCCACTAGCAACAAATCCACCGAAGGCAACAGAGCCACCGAAGAAAAATCCATGGGAGGTGGTGGTGTGAACACCCGAGCCGAAGCTCTATGCACTTCCCGAGGGAATCGCGTCGAAACGCGTTGATAGATTGTGGTTACAGATCCGAAAATATATGGGGTTGAAGAAAGTCAGAGCCAAATTTGAAGGGCACGAAGAGGAAGGAAGAAAACCATGGAGGTGGAAGATGGGAGAGGGGAAAGATCGGAGACAAAACTGACCAGAAGAGGAAAAGAAAGCAGGGGAAACCGATAGCCACCGACCCTAGCCTGAGCTAGGGCCGGCAAATAATGTTTTTGTTTTTTATTTTCACGTTAGAGTTTTATATGACCCGGTTTAGGTATCCGAGATATTGACGTTATGATGCTTTCATTATTATTAATAAATTATCTTTTTCCAACCTTTATTGTTTTTTAAAGGTTGTTTTTGCCTCATTTTAGTTATCTTATTTGATTGGAACTTGAATAAAATTCACATGCAAAGAGTTCATGTCATGCCTCGATTTTGGCCCAAAGTAAACTCGAGTAGGTGACACTTCACGTTACTTTTAAAAATGCAAAAATTAATTATTTTAAAGTCTCTAAAACTGAATGTAAACAATTTCGTTACCACTACAAATAAACCTCAAAATGAAACTACAAAGGTTCCAAAATCCATAACAAAAGTACAAAACATCAACGTACACTGTGTTGTCAAAACAACTACAAACATCTAATGTCTTCCAGAATGAACTCAAATCTTCTACAAATCTTTAAAAACATCCTAATCATGTCAACTTCTCACCCAAGCTGATCTGAAAGGGAAGGGAAAAAGGGTGAGCTACAAAGC